ATCTTAGTTTAACTCAAGCAGGTTAAAAACAGACTTAATGATTCCAGGATAAAAGCAGCCATCATCATCATTACAGCATTTTTCCTGGGGCAAAAAGTGATAAAAATTCAGCAAGTATCTTCATTCCTTTCTGGATGTGAGCCCATTGTTTCCCTTCATAGTTGCTTTTATCCTAGGAACTCGGTGTATCCAGTTAGTAAATCTTTAACTTCTATTTTTGGTGTAATCAGGGGAACATAATGGGGCTTCTTGTGTGGGAGTAGGCATAGTAATCACATTATGTGGTTCCATGGTGGTGGGATTTTTTCCAAGAATTTTGTTTAAAGAGACTACCTTGCCAAGTATATGTTCCCATCCTCCAGTGTAGCCAGCAAAATATATTTCCCACAGTAAACGGCATAAGGAAACTCCATAACATATATTGAGAATTATTAAAATTGAAATAAAAATGAGGCTGGAGAATTAAGATTGGCAAAGAGGAAATGCTGGAACTTTGTCAAACAGCAATGGTCACTGTGTGGTCCACGCCAGGTGGTAAACTGCTAAACAATTTCTCATCCCTTTTCATTTCTTTTAAGATTCATTTTATTATTGTTACCTTTGTGAGTCCACATGAACAGTATAGTTTGAAATCAGATGTCAGCCTGTGTAACCCAGTTCTTCCTTTCTACCATGTGGGTTCTGAGGACCAGACCAGGTCCATCAGTCTTGGTTACAAGCACTTTACCTCCTGGCTCATGCCATGATGAACACTGAGCACTGACATTTTTTTTGTTAACTGTTGATTTTTTGTTTGTTTGTTTGTTTTTTAAACAGGCTGATGAAGTTCAGGCTGACCTTGAACTTCAGACCTTTCTGCTTCCACCTCCAGTTACTGGGATGATAGGTTTTACTTCTGTGCCCTGTGTATGCAGAGGTCTTTTGTGTGTTGAGCAAGTAGTCTATCCAATGACCACCATTTGATGTGAAAACATTGATATAACTGAGTTTTTCATATACAGGTCTACACTGAGAACCTGCCTCAAAACCAAACCATAACTGCAAACACAAACTTTTGTTAAAATAAACTGTGTGTGTGTGTGTGTGTGTGTGTGTGTGTGTGTGTGTGTGTTTTGAGATATAGTCTCTCTCAGTTGCCTATACTTCCCTAGAACTCACACTGTAGCCCTTGAATCCTGCCCCTTAGCCTCGGCTTCCTAAGTACCAGGAGAACAGGGCTCGACTAGGGAGTGACCAAGCCAGAGCACAGAGTGGACTACCTGTGTGTCCTGGGCTCACAGGTAGTAGCCAGAGGTGCTTGACAAGATCAGAGTATTTCTAGGGTTGGATTATATTCCATAACCTTGCTTGAAATGGAATGCCAGCATTTCAGCATGGAAGGATGGGAAGAGGCCCAGGATTCAATCCTCTTTGAGGTCGAGGTGTCCTGAGAGTCTCATGTGGGTTAGGGCCACAAATGCAGTGTGAGGCATTGCTTATGAAGAGATAGATATACACTACCAAGACCATGGTCATGGCTCAGTTGTACCTTCAGTGGCCTCATAGAGATGGTGAGTAAGCATGCCAGGGCTAGAGCTGTGCCCAGGAGTCCTTGGACAAGGACAAGGAAATGGTGGAAAAGAGACTTCCTTCTTGCTCACTGGTGGAGCACACTAAGCTGAGATTACACAAAATTGAAAATCCTCCCAGGTGGTAAAGTATTGCAGAATCTGTCCACTTCTCACATGGGAAACTGAAACAGAGAAGGAAGGCAGTCGTGGCTAGAACAATTCTGGGTATTTTCTAACTGGTTATTGTAACTATGGTAACAAGTGTGGTGCACTTACATCTGTCTCAATAACAGGCATAGGGTCGGAAAGTCACTCAACAAAGGTGAAAGACAAAAAATGGACAATTAGCAGGATTTGAACCCATGTATCCCATGTGTACTCTTATAAAGTTTTTAAGGATGCATGTATTTATTAATATAGGGGGAGGGCATGCATGTGTGGGAATCAGAGGACAACTTACCTGATTCCATTTTCTTCTTCAACCATTTTGTTCCCAGGGAAGGAACTCAGATAGAAAAACAGGCTTGTCAGCAAGTATCTTTACCACCAGAATCATCTCACTAGCCCTCAGTTGTATCATTTTGTGTGAATGTGCATGTGTGGAGGTCACAGGTCA